CTACAGAGACAGTTTCATTCTGCCCTTAAAGCCCATAATAAAGCACACAGACTAAAACCCCTCCTGCAAGTTCAAGGTACTGCCTCCAGATGTTTAACAGCAATGGGGTGGCACAAGTGGAACATGGGAGCTCCTATTAGGAGATCACCTGCAATTATCTGCTAGCTGGTACCACTACACAAACATATTTAGACAACTCTTTCTGCTGGAGAGACTATGGTAAACACGGGAAGAGCAGTCAGCAGTACCTCTGCCATCATGTTACGCAGGTTTTGTTTGGAACAAGGCTGATCTGTGGGTGAGCAGCAGAAGCCGTAGCGACACGCAAACTCCGAACTGAAGAGTGAACACATTTCAAAGCAGTACCTTACTCATTTATCTTCGATTTGCATTTCTCTACATCCCATATAGAGTCAAGAAGCTGAGACATTCAGTTCCTCAGAAGCTTTATTTTCATTCAAGCTACAGAAATATAGTACCTTCCAATTTCCCATTATACTTTGTGTATTTGTACGGCTCAGGGCGAGATGCACTAGGATATCTACTCTGTACATACAGAGGAAGATAAGGCTCAAAAACTAGCTTAACTTCAAAGAATGCCGAACCTTACCGATGAGGCTGGCTCCAATTCCTCGATAACATTAATAGGCACAACATAAGGAAAAGAAGATTGATCTAGACTACCTATTGTAAGCAAAATCCAATAATTCATTACAGAAAGTCATCCAAAGAAACCTTTTAGAAATAACAAAACAGTTTTCTACTTTGAAAAAATAGAAAAAATAGATGAGTCATTTTTGCTTTATATATGATATATTCACACACATACTTTCAAGTATCGTTTTCACTATTATTATACTTACATGTCTAGAGATAAAAAAAGTGAAAATCCCATAAGCAGATTATTATGCCACAGAAGTCACAGTCTTTTATCTGGGTTTAGCAACACCTGGAATTCTCCATGGTATCATAGTGACCAAAAAAGCAGTGACTAGACTCAGTGTAATTTTTCCCTTTATTAAACATGTTTTAATAAGGCTTGAAAAGTATCAGGATTTAGAAAAATGGGCATGGGAAAAGCACAGGCAGTCATAAACCCCACAAATTCACAGCTAAGCTTGTCACACACTCAGTACTAGTAGGGAATTAAAAAAAAATAACATCTGAGTTATGATTGGTTAGCAGGCAAACTGATACCAACTAACTGACTTCAGCTAGGATGTTTTGACATTTAAGGCATCACACAAAATAACAAGTCAACACTAAGAAGCATAACAGTCATCATGTGCTCAGCCACAACTCACATTTAGCTCTGGACATCAGAACCTGCTTTATTTCAAAACAGGAAGGCTAGTAGGGCATCCCATAGCCTTTTGGGAAAGCGCCAGGCAGCTGCCAGGCAGCCACTAGGCAAGAGCAGAAGTGACCATGGTTTTTATCCCAGGGGAAGGAATTTAAGTGCTTATTAAAGGCTTTGCTGCAGTGCCAGAGCTGGACGCCCAAAACCAAGTTCTGGTGGAATACAGAACTTTAAGACCTAAAAGGCAGAAAAAGTCTGTTCAAGCAGCTACAGTGGCGAGTGTCCTGCAAAGAGATCAGAATGGAAAGTCTTCAAGATTTAACAGCTTCTGGAGTTTTGAAATGATGATGGAGAGGTCCAGCAGGTGCATTCAATAGCCAGGGCCGGGACTGGTTTCACACTGCTTGCTAATACGCTCTGCACTCCTGCTTTCCAAGTCTAGTTTGGATTGACAGGTATGAAATGTCCCAAGGTGAAATAACTATTTCCTTACTGGTGATGTCATTTTCATTTGTCTGTTTATTGCCAAATATGAAAAGGCACAAATTCTCCATTAAAAAAAAATATTGTAAGACCTAACTAAAGCCTACTCACAAAAAAAACTGCAGAAACCATTGATTGTTCTTAAGAGGGGAAAGTCATCTAAAAAATTAAGTGCTAAGCAGTCTGAAAGCTCTATGGTTTTAACTATTAAGCTCAACTATTTGGTTTAGTACTTCAGTACAGCATGTTCTTAAAATATAGTTTTAAAACCATCAAGCCCAGACTCTGAGAAGTAAAACTTCTCAGAAACAAGGGAGGTCACATATCAAAGGGAAGATCCATGTTGCTTTATGAGGCTGAATTGCAATGGGTTTTTTGCTTTTAGTAAGGGTCCCATGGAGTCCAGAATATTATCTCCAAGCATTTCTGATGGAAAAGATTCTATTAAGTAGCTCAGTCCAAGCTTTGCTAAAAGCTATTTAAATTTCCCAGAATTTGGGTAACATTAAAAATTAAGTTTCCTGAGCTAGAGACAGCCTGAAACACACGACAGCAAGAGTGCAGGACAAACAGAAAGTAACAATGAAAATCATTGCACAGCCCAAGACTTACAGGACACCCAGAAGCTGTTAATGCACAAATATTCCTCATTTTTTACCCCTTCTTCCCAGGCTATATTTTGGCACATTTTTACACCTCTGAACACAGCAAGTTTCTGCTTTCTTTCCTTGCTCTGCTGGTCTTGTACCATAAAAATCACTTCTGAATAGATGCTTCACACATTTACTCTTTAGTCTTCTCAGGCTTACTAAACCCAAACATTGACAATGACTACCCATTTAGCTGGAAGTTTAATGACACTGAATATTTTGTACCAAAACTAGATAGTTAAACTTTTACTGCTTTTTCCTCTTCTGAGCCTGTGGCCGTTTCATTAATAAACAGAACAGAGAGCTCTCAGCTTTCTTCCATAGTATAAGAATACAAACTAAACCATTATAATCAGAAGCACATTAGTATGCAGCGCAAAGTGATTTGCAAGTTGGAGAACACTAGGTTCATGGTCACTTGCTTCTTCTAGCAATGAATTAAAAGCATAGGTCATATTTGATAAAGCAAGTATGTCATTTAATTTTCACTCAAGTCTTCCAGAAACATAGCAATTGTTATTTGAGCAGTGAAGAGCCTCAAATCAACCTACCTGAAATTTTCATATTACAGTGCAAATCATTTGCCTGCTTGAGTAGGCTCAGGCTCAAAAACCTGAGATCATACAAAAAAACCCCCAACCACCTATCAATCACCTTTCCAGATGAACAAGATGCTGCTACCCTGAATAATATTCCAGTCAGTCTTGTAACAAAATTAAACAAACCCAATACTACATACTTCTCACAACAGCACTCAGTTTAATCTCAATGCTCTTTTCAAAAGGGCAGCACTACCTATGTTTCTGAATTACACCCATTTTAGTGAGCCTTGCCCCAGAGCTCCCAAATTACATATACGTAGACAATCTCAGGTTACCACTCAGGAAACTGATTCATCTTTACCTTCCCATGCATACAAGCATTACTGGTTTATTCAGAAATATCAAACCCTTCATAAACACTACTCAGCTTGAGGCTGATGATATAGAACAGAAATAGTCTGAAGAAATTTAGTTCAAAAAGCTTACTTTAATTGCAAAGATGATTAGCTGACACAGTAAGCTGGAAAACAGGCAGAGACTGCTGTATTCTGCTATGAATGGTGGTATTAAACAAACCTGACTTGCTTTGCATGCCTGCAGAATCAGGGCAGGCAACCAGTTACACCAGAATCCACAGAAAACAGCGTACAAACAGCCTAATAGCTCTCTCCACATCCAACATCCATCCTGGCTAATGACCAATACTGACAGCATAGTATCATTAGATATACATGCTTAGTGTAAGTGTTTCTATTAAATAGACATAATAATGATCCAGAAGTTAATGTAATACCTTTCTGGTATAGTCTGATACACTGTTTACGACATACGTTTCTTAGAAAATGGGCAAGTGCTCAAGTCTAAGTACATAGAAACACTTCAGTGCCTTAATCAGGCAGACTTAAAAGCCTGATTTCAACTAAACCTTCACTGCCACAGTGACTAAACTTGCTTTAAGGAATTATCACAAAGATCAAAACCCCAATAAACATCTGCCTCTAAGTTTAACTGAAGAAAGGCTATTATAGCCCTTGCAAGATCTTAAAATACATCACACACTAAACCCCAAGAAATTAGCAATAAAGTATTGATTTTGCTGCATGCTGGGTTTTTTTTTTTTTTAGAGTGGAAAGAAAAAGCCTCTTACACTGTGCTCAAAACAAAAAGTTAAGTCCATGGCCTTCAAAGTTTTCCCCTAATCCTGCCAGTCAAGCAAACTTACAGCTCCCATAGCAACTGCACAGCCAATTAAAGTTTCAATTTTAGACATACATAATAGCAGACTATCTAGATCCTCATATACTTTTATTTTGAAGACATTTCTAGTGCGCTTTACTTGTACTTCATATAGGAATTAGATACTTAGAGTAGAATCACTCAAGCACTTTTAGTGTAGTTCCTACCTGAAACTAGATGTCCTTCTGCATACTTTTAAATTTCTTGGTTGGCATAAACAAAAGTCAAAGGAGAAACAAGGCAAACCATGATCAATTAGCCCAACCACTAAGAAAAAACAGTAGCCACATCAATATCATTTCACTTTGATTTAGGGTGCTATCTAATAGGTTTATTAAAAGTTTCAACAGACTATAGCTCCAGACTTTATCTTTCTTGGAAGACACTACAATAGAAGCCACAGTAGAGACTGCCTCGTCACAAGAGGTACAAATACTTGCTGTATAGATGGAGAAATAAAAGGACAAATCTAGTTGTCTAAAAGACAATTCACTGTACACATTTTATTTACAGTTTTGTACACTGTCTTAATATGAATGGGACCGCTTTTCTACTTGAGCCATTTTAACCAAAGCAAAATAACCTAAGTAATACAAAGTGTTAAAATACAGCATAAGATACAAAAACAGACATACTATTTCTAGTAAGGAATGTAAATTATGGTGTTACATTAAAAAAATCCACAATTATGTTTAGGAAATCACACAAACAGATCACTGATTTGACTGAAATGCATAAATTTGTAGCAAAGCTTTGATGTTACAAAAAAACCAAAAAATTACCAAAGAATGCACAAAATTAATGTTTATTCCACCTTTGTCATATTCCCAGATTCTTCACCAAATGTTACATGAGCAAAAACAACTGAAATCAAAATATTGCTAATGTTATCAAATAGGGAAAACAAATAAATTAATCTAGCAGCCATCAGCATAGGTTACAGCAAAGATGATGCTGTATAAAAAAATTGCTAGAAAACTGTATGCACCATACTCTTTTCCAAACCAGCAAAATGTTACTGCATACAATGCAAATGTAAAACAGAGTAATTTCCTGCAGGTACAGAAATGCAACTTCTCTTCTGAATACTGTGGATAAACATTTTTTTTTTTTCTCGTAATAGTAATGTTTCTACCAAGCTATTACAGAGTGGGCCAGGAAAACATTTATGGATTCAGGGGGTGAAGTGTACTAAAATTCTGATTGGTAATGGTTACTTCAGCCAAAATAGAAAAAATTGAACACAGAAGTACAAGACAAAGGCGAATGAAACTTCTCACAAATCTTAGCAACACTTAGATGGAAATCAAATTTAAACGTAGTCCACTCTGCTTTTGAAGAGGCTTTGGTTCAGCTCCCAAATCTCGATTGCTTGACGCAGTCTCCTATGAAAGAATACTCAGAAGGTGTCTTCTTAAACAACAAACCTATTTTTAGTGGTGGAGCCGCTCTTAGTAGCTGTGTCTGCATGGGACTGATAACCAATCACTATCTTTGGAGGAAGTCCTAATCTTTCCTTGTATACTCTCCTGGAGAAAAGAAATAGAACAGTTTAAGCAAAGCCCTTTGGAAAGAATTAGTAACAGGACACCCGCTTTAAAGATCTGCTGACACCTGCATGAAAAATAGTTGCCTATTTAGAAACAATTTCTCAGGTATGAATAAAGAACTTGAAACAGGATTTTTCTAGCTTATTGCATCTAAAAAAATCGGCTTACAGTTCTGTATGAACAATGACTTACCATATAAAATAGGAAAAGCTCTTGCCAAAAATTAATTAACAGGCCTACATAACATAGAACACAGGGATTCTACTGCATTTATGTGAATATCATTAATATCAGCAAGCTATATTCCCACATATAGGAACAAAACCACTATGAAGTAGTCCTGGTCCACAATTCCAGAACTACTGAGATGATAAAGTCACCTGAACCAAATAAAACAGCAATTACCTGGAACAGTCAGTTTTTATCACCATACAAACATCAGTTGCACAGACTTGCTGTCTTTTCTTTAACTAGTGATAGAAAGCAGACCCCCCACCTCCTCCCAATTCATTATGGTACTGGTCATGGGCAGCTATCCAACAGGAGCTTTAAGAAACATCAGCTTGGATCTTATGCCTTGAGAAAGAAAGAACAGTACCCAACTTATACACGCTGTGTTTCTTAGCACAGAGTGAGGGGCAAGCCACTAATGCCTCTACACTGGAAGCTCTGATTAAACCACAGAACAAGCCTGTTCAGCTGCACATTGTTAACAAAACTACCTAAATTTGGGTTTTTTAAACTCACACTAATCATAACAGAGCAGTTCACAGGACCATAGCTTACCCCAATTTTAACTGTTAAATAAAAGCTTGATGTATTGTCTTTGGAGTTACAGCAACATGACAGCAGGTAGTCAACATAACTTACCTTAGTCATTATGTCAGTCAGTTTGCAAACTCAAATTTTTTTACAGTTCTCTAGTGGAGTCATCTTAGCTCCTTAGCTAATGGTTAATACCATTCTCTGATGCACCCTCGAGGGAGATGATTCTGCCCCTCTACTCTGCTCTCATGACACCCCACCTGGAATACTGCATCCAGCTCTGGGTCCTCCAACAAGAAGGACATGGACCTGCTGGAGCGAGTGCAGAGGAGGGCCACAAAGATGATCAGAAGGCTGGAGCACCTCCTTATGAAGACAGGTTGAGAGAGTTGGGGCTGTTCAGCCTGGAGAAGAGAAGGCACCAAGGAGACTTTATAGCAGCCTTCTCGTACCTAAAGGGGGCCTACAGGAAAGATGGGGAGGGACTTTGTAGTAAAGTTATGTAGTTATGTAGTTTGTTATGTAGTAAAAGGACAAGGGGCAATGGTTTTAAACTGGAAGAGGGTAGATTTAGACTGGATGTTAGGAAGGAATTTTTTACTGTGAGGGTGGTGAGGCACTGGAACAGGTTGCCCAGGGAAGTTGTGGCTTCCCCATCCCTGGAGGTGTTCAAGGCCAGGCTGGATGGGGCTTTGAGCAACCTGGTCTGGTGGGAAGGTGTCCCTGCCCATGGCAGGGGGGTTGGAACTAAATGATCTTTAAGGTCCCTTCCAACCCAAACCATTCAATGATTCTATGCCTAATAGGTTTGATGTAAGGTGATTCTCTACTAGCAGAAGATGTGTACCACAGTTCTGTTTGTTTATTATTAAACACCTTTCAAGTCTGAACAAGATTGCATAATAAAACTGCTAGCACAAGGCAGACCCCACCAGATCTTAAAGCCTCAAATGAGGATTGTGTCACAAGAGCCACCCAAGTGAAAAACATTAGCAAGCTACTATGCCTGACAGTTAAAAGTTTGGCCTAAAGTTTGTGCTAAGCTGGGAAGAGAAGTATTTTCATTGGTTTGCATAGGTTAGGTGGCCTACAATGACTGAATTTAACAGCAAGTAATTTTGAAGCATCAATAATACAGCATAAGGAGTCCATTATCTTTAGCAATGCTTGCTAAATAGTAAATCACAACATACATTTTCTATAGTACAGACTCAAAATAATCTGATATGACTACTGTTGCTTACTGAAATGAAGACTACAACATGTTATTACGCATGTCAAACAATCCGTGAAACTCAGCATTATTTTGTTTGATTTGTACTTAAAGACAAAAAGGTAGAAAAACATCTATAGACTTTCAAAGCACATCACTGTCCAGCTTTTTTCAAATATAAGAACAACCTTGTGAGCTTAAGCTTTCCTCTCTTATTTGTAAGCATTGCCTTCCTGAGAAAAAAAATCTTACCAACACTCTACTATTACTGGCTACCCACCATCACAAACTGGCATGCTGCAACAGAATCTACACTATCTACAGGTATTAGTTACAATGCCTCACTGTGAAATGAAAAACTTCTGCCAAGATTTGTGTCCAACTCTTCATTATTTCTAAACTACAGTGAATGTAGTGCAGCAGTAAAAGTTACGAACATAAGCCTGTATAAAAAAACCTACACAGTAACACAAATAATTTGGCACTGAGTTACTTAAACTTGGGATATACCTCTCCACAGGCTACATTTGCCTGAAGTGCATTCTCTAAGTTTGTCTTTAATGCATTGGTACACTTCATATATTCAAGACAACAATCACATTACTTACCCTATATGCGTAACAGCATCCCTGTTTTCACATTCAGTTGTCCATATTGCTATTTTATCACCCTTAGTTCTAACGTTAACAACAGCACCACATACATCATCACTGTAGTCATCAAACGACTCCCCAATAAGGCACAGCAGCTACAAAACAAAGATTAACCATTAAAAGTGGCTCAAAGTCAGAATCATGCTCCATAGGTAAATACTCAGTGTACACAAAGAACTGAGGAATATTACATTTTACAGCTTATAGTCACTTGCCACACAATCCTTTTCTGTTTATTGCAGTATCTTCTTGAAGTTCCAAATGTTACAAGTGAATGCAAACTCAGTTGCAGTAGGGTATCTTCCTCCTATTTTGAGTTTTCCATCTCTCCTCCTGTCCCAGCAGCTACAAGCTCTGCCACAGATCATCATTTACATAGTGTTGCCTCCCACCCCATGCTCCCAATCCAAAACCAGGTAAGAATTTATTCTTCTTTCTAAAGTATGTTTAACACAGGTAGACAAATCTCAAATTTTAATTGTTTACATTCATTATCTAGGAAGAACCTGTGAAGAACTATTTGGGCACTATGTCAGCTATGTAGGGTCCAACTTCAATTCTTAAGTAGATCAACTGCAGATCAGTTGCAAGTCAGACTGCAACTTAGATGAAAAGTGCTATCTAATGAAGTGTTACTTCCTATCAACACACTTGGGAAGCTTCAGAGTTCCCACAGACTCTAAAGTGGGAATCGGTCATTCTGAATAGCGTGTAATGCAAGTGCAACAATCTAAGTGTATAAGTAACAAGATTCTTCCCCCACAGATTTCTAATAGTGAAGCTTGGAATTGGCAAAGGTGGTATACTGCAGGAAAAGCAGATTGAGTTAGGTCATATTCCTGTACAACATGCTAACTGTGGAAGTGATATTTAAAATCTTCAACTTGCAACTTGTAAAACAACCAATTTTCAGATATTCAAAACTGAGAATTCCTTGTGGTTAAGACAGATTCATCTAGTCCATGCTGAATTAAAAATCCTTTTGCACAGTTAAGTAATCTCCAAATGGACGCTTGTTTACTTCACTGGCACAGTACCTTAAATATACTGCCATTATATTAACTTTCCAGAATCACTTATAACATTTGGAAATTCAACACACTTGCAACTTTTTGAACAAAGCAGGTCTTTCAGTACCCACGAGAGCTGCAAGGGCTGACTTCATCAAGGAAATACAAAAAGGACAAAGTGTGCTATTGAATAAATCAGGTATAACTACGCATACTTTTAATGTTACACCCAATTGCAGCCTGTACACATTCACTGTTTTAAACATTTAGTTTACAGTTACAAATGGTAAAGACCATTAGATTATACAATTTTTTTCCAAAGGGGAGTGACAAAGGAAGAGGTTTTGATTTTTATCGGAGAAAGTTGGTTACAAATAATTATTGGAAGTGACAGGGTTGTTTTAGAGTACATATTCCAGTCACCTGGGTATTTGGGCTCTGTGCCATTGCTTTTTGTTTAGCAGCAAGCAGAGTCTTCTACCCGTAAGTGTACATAGACTATCTACGTGTTTCCAACCCACATGTAATGGTTATTAAGAGTCAGAAGGACTCATATGGGCATCGAGGGGCAGAGGCCAAATACACACAGTAAAACGTTTATCTACTTATGCACAGTGATATTGCCTAGTAGTATAATGGTCATCATCCTTTCTTCAAATCACTACTACAGTGACTAGGAAGATCCTAATAGCTAGGGCATTTTGGACACCTCTGCTTTGATCCTGAAGGCCAGGGTACTCCTTTCAAAGGGGTACAATACTTCTTGCCTCTCATACAAGCAGGGAAAAAAGATGAGAGATTTGATAAGATTGCTTTGCATTGTGCTGCCTGCAAACCAAGCCCCTAAAACCCAGATGACACTAGACTTTTAGGCTATTCTGAGTCAGTTCACAGACAGCATAGTTGTATTCTTTTCTACAACACATTTACTGCAGCCCACATAATCTCTGGAAGTATATTTACCATTCAAAAATTCCATACCAAAAAGACAACGGCAATGGAAAAAAGTATTTTTATAGTGCACAGGAAGATTGTGCTATTACTTGCCTATCCTAGTCTTAAGTACAGAAAGAACAAAAATAAATCTGAAACTCCCTTGTTTCAGCAAGACGGAAACATGAAAGCCATTCGCTTATAAGAGTATTTGTAAAACAAATTGTTACATTTAAGCAGCTAAATTTGGGAGTCAGATTCAAGACAAAGTATTATTTTCCCAGTAGCTTGACAGATATTCTGTACACGCCACAGGAAAAGGTTAACTTGTCCTCTAGAATTATCTTTACTGCTGCCCGTTATAAAAAAGTATTCAACAGAATACAACTACACTGAACATCACTACTGAAAAATCATGTTTCAAATACAGCCTGTCAATAAAAACTTATAGGACACTGTGCTGCCAGAAGTTAGAAGTCTAGGATGGCACACAGAAAGAACAAACCCGTTAACATATTAAATACAAATGAAAGATTCTTCAGTTGAAACTTGTAAGGCCATAGTGCTTACTGTCTCTAGCCAGAAGCGATCAAGGTCACTTCGTCTCTGCTGTTTGTTTAGTGTAATTAGCCATCGTCCTCCTCGCTTGTTTTTTTCATCTTCCCACATGGGTTCAATCCCATCCTGCAAAGAACAGCCAGAAGTTAAATCAGACTTGATTTGTATTCTCCCTAAAGAATAACCAAAAGGCCAGTGATAACTGAAGTAGTAACTTAAGAAAAAAGTGTGTAGTTTAAGGTACATACCTGTCCAGAAATAGCATCTCATACAAATACGGAAGTTCTAGAACAGCTTAAAAAGTGCACTTTCTCAAATGAATTTTTATTTCTACAGAAGAATCACAGCCCTGGTAAAAGTCTTGGCTACACAACTTTACATAAAAAACTGTGGGAACAGGCAAAGTCAAACATCCACTTTATCCTATATGAAACCAGATAAAAGTAGCAGCTACATTCTGGAGTCCTTATTTTAAGTCTTGGACTCATTGCAACATTGGCCAAGTGCTTGCTCATGCATAAAGATTACTTCACTGAAACAGACACCCTTGGCAGTCTACCTCAATGACTTCCTGCACACACAAGGTTAAAATAAGATGGTTTTTAATTGCCAGGGCCACAAAAATCAACACAGCATTTAGAAGCAAGTTGCATTCTGATTCACACTGTACCAATGGTCCTGCACTGAATTAAAAGACTCTGGATGCACTGATCCAGCAAGGCTGCCAGCTGCCACTCCCATATCCACCAACTACACTGCACTTCAGGAAAATCAGTCATTAAAAAAGCAGGTAACTGTCTAGACAGAGAAATTTGGGTAAGAAATGTCTAGTGAGAGCTGCACTACAGAACTTTGGCTGAAAACTAATTAAGTGTTCAACATGCAGGATGAGTGGTGTCAGCTCACTTTAAATTTAACACCCTCACTGGCAGCTGCACAGCTAAAACTACTTCATCACCTTTAAGAGGAACTCTTACGAGGTCACAACTGAAGGACAACAGCAAGAGATTGCTCAAAAGCCTGCAACAGTTGCCAAGTCTGTATGTGTTCCGTGCATTTAAATACTTAAATTATTGCCGGGTGATGATATGCAAACACAGAATAGAGACACAATACTTAAAACACAAATTTAGGATTCATGCAAAAAAATAAAGCATGATTCATAGATATCCTAACCTCTGAAGGGCCTACAGCTTCTTAAAATTTACTAGCAAGGTTTCTCAGTCACCTAAAATACTGCTAACTTCCCAAACCCAAGGTTTACAAACTATGTATGCAGTCTACAGGAGTCCCAGACAGTAGATAGGTTTTATAAGCAAAGCACCACTACTTAGGGCATTATTTAGGTATTTGAATCCAGAAATGGAGCTGAATGTTAGAAGCACTTCAGAGAGGTTAGGATTTAGTTTAGAGCTCCAGTTCAGATCTCCACCCCATCTGAGGCAGGATCTCATAGAATGGTTTGGGTTGGAGGGGACCTTAAAGATCATCCAGTTCCAACGCCCCTGCCATGGGCAGGGACACCCTCTATTAGACCAGGTTGCTCAAAGCCCCACCCAACCCAACACTTCCAGGGATGGAGCATCCACAGCTTCTCCGGGCAACCTGTTCCAGTGTCTTCAGTACCGTCAGAGCAAAGAATTTCTTCCTAATATCTAAGCTAAATCTACCCTCTTTCAGTTTAAAACCATTGCCCCTTGTCCTTTTACTACACTCCCTGATAAAGAGTCCCTCCCCATCTTTCCTGTAGGCCCCTTTAGGTACTAGAAGGCCACAATAATGTCTCCCTGGAGCCTTCTTTTCTCCAGGCTGAACAACCCCTGCTTCACGTACACTTTCTCAGAAGCATTTCCTATTCACTAATCTGAACGCTTCCTCAACATGCTTTAAGCATCAGTGTTGCATACAGTTTTTTATTTTATACATAAGTAATATGGTGGCGTAAAAATTAATTATAGGAGCACTATGCATCTGGCTAGTAGTGCTCATAAAGAATACTGAAGAACATTACAGCCTCCCACAGAACTGACATTTTAACTTATTTCATGTCACACCAAGAAAATGAGAGCTGTAAAATCTTTATATTATAAAAATTATTCACACTTAATTATTTGCACAAGCATTTCAAACAGAATGAAGACAAACACAGCAATGGATTAAAATGTACTGTCTGTGAAGTGTTAAAGAAAGTACTTGCATTTTCAGAACTAGTGACAAGACTTATTTTTCAGAGGGCATGTGTTTCAACTTTCTGAAAAAGTTAACACCTTTATGACATTCCCAACCATGTTCCTAAATATCAGAAGTGAAGTATTTGGACAGTGTCTTGCTGAGTTAGGAAACCATCCATCAACATCCATAACTGAAGAAAAAAGGTTAGCAAGCATACCTTAAAGAGCGAGTAGTCACAACCAGGCATTAAATTACTAGAGAGCTGGATATGGTTGTATAAACTATTGGAGGGAAAAAAGCAGGATTAAAAATTAAGCATTATTTTAAGGTAAAAAATTCTTAAAGAATTTAAGACATATGACCAAATAATATACAAAAATTAAAAAGCATTAAAGTTATTTCAGAAGCAACCCTATTTCCTAAGTATTTTTGAGCAGTATACAAGCATTAGCTTTAAGATATTCTGAGCTTAAAGAAGCAGAATAGTAACTGGTTTATGAGCACTTGCTGGGTTCCTATACAACAGTATTTTCCAGAAATACCAATGCCTCTTTTAAACCTAGTTCTAATAAATTTATTAGAAATACAACTCACTGAGCTTTCGTGGCAACAAGTTCTGTGTGCATGTGTATTCTGTACATATACATACATGGAATAAGGATAATTGTTTATATTTCTAATGCTACTTTCTCTCTGCAGAGAGGTTAGGATAAATATTCAACTTTGTTATTTATAACAATACTCTCGCGATAAAGGCTGTAGGCTCGATGACTTTTGAGTCCTTATTTCAATCTGAGTTAAGACAGATGACTGAAACAACAAAACGTAAAATATATACTCCAAATTGAATTTACAACTATGCAATTCAGAGAAAAAAAAAGTCAAAGGAGTACACATACTGTCTCCTCCTCTAGTGAAGATAGATTTTTTGTTTCCTGTGGTGTTAAGGTCAGACTTCAGATAAAGGCCTGCACATACCACAGTAAGCTGTAGTCCAAGACCAACTAACAATCAGGCACAGTCAAGCCCCAGAAGAGCCATTAATTACTGCAGTGGTCTTACAATTAGAATTCAAGCATAGAATGGTTTAGGTTGGAAAGGACCTTAAAGATCATCTAGTTCCAACCCCCCTGCCATGGGTGGGGACACCTTCCACTAGACCAGGTTGCTCAAAGCCCCACCCAGCCTGGCCTTGAATACTTCCACAGACGGGCCATCATCAACTTCCTTGGGCAATTTGTTCCAGTGCCTCACCACCCTCACAGCGAAAAAAGAATTTATAAAGCCAGTTACAGATTTACCAGCTTCCTTCTTTAAGTTTACCTTAACCTTAATATTTTCTCCCCAGAATAACACACCTATTTCCCCACTCTGACCACAGTGGAAGTGTAACTTCTCAAATGCTTCTAATTTTGTATCTTGACTGCCAACATCTAGATTAAGCACTTCTTTTAATTACCCAGACTACCTTGGTTATAGGAGCTCAAAAACCTTACCCTTAACCAACTTCAATAGTGAGCTTCAAACAACTTTGCCTCCCATCACGTACCCCAAGACTGCAAACTACTGTTCACTCAACCATCAGTGACCCCCATAGGAGTGGGAAAGCTGGTTACAAGCACAGAACCCCATTCCCCTCCCTCTGATGACAGCACTGATAAGTACTTGTTCAACATTTTTAGTATCATTTTTGCTTTCCTGTTGGTGCTAATGGGTCACTGATGGGTCTCACTCTACTAAGAGACAGCATCCCTCCCTTACTGATCACATCCAAAGGAAGAGCCCTACAACTCAATGTAGCATGAAACACTAAGGAAGATCAAATATATAATGCATTTTTTCACCCTCAGTTTCTTGCCACTTGCAATTTATCCATATTTCATCATTATGTCAGGCAAAATCTTCCAAGTAAGTTACCTGAATCTGAATGAAGCAAGTGTTTGGAAACCACAGGCCTACCTTCAAAGGCTTCGTTCTTGCTGTTTGAGCCTAACTGCTTTCGCAGACCTTCAATTTAGAATTAAGGTAGTTTCTTCTGTAACCTCTAACAAACTTTCAAGGATGCCTTTAATCTGCATCAATCTCCCAAGTACCATGCTCCAGATTCAGGCACTCTTGAACAGCTGAAGCCAGCTGTCTGAGAATTTAATCAACTAGCAAAGTTTGGGGCCAGGGAAGTGACAATCAGTTAATTACTGATTTACAAATTCATGTTACTACAAGATAGCTACTGCACAAAACCAATTTTCTACATGTATGTCATGTATATATGAATATAAGCAGTGTTGCAGTGTTAACAGCAAGACAATGTGCATCTAAAGTATTAAAAACTTCTCCAATCACATTTTCTTCAAAGGTTACATTCCACCACATTCTGAAGAATGGCATAGACCTCCAATTTTGTAAACATTCCAGATTATACCCAAAAAGTTGCAGTTAACAGAGTACTTCATGTTTTTCTGACTTTGCCATAAGCTTTGCCAACATACACCAGGATAATTATGCAGATTGAAAAATCTTTACTTACGCCCAAAAATCTTCAACAGTATCAAACTTTGAGATAAGACGAAGATTTGCTTGCCAAGTTTTGCTCTTGTCATTTTTAAAAAACCAGAGCGCCCATCTAAAGAAAAACAAAATCAAATAATAGCATAGAGAAATAAAGTATATTAAAAATGTAATTCGTTATTTGCACTGTTTTATCCAAACTAACTTAAAATCTTAAGATATCATCAGCATGGAAGTCAGTTTTCATCAATAGGCTACATGAGCAACTTAGTTCTCAAAGCCAACTCTTTGCAAATCAACATTGTTTGTGTTCCCATTACAAGAATCACGGCAGACTTGATCAATCTGTTTAGGTAAATATTTTAAATAGTTTTGGAACATTTCTAAGACTCTAAACCTCTAAGCCTCATGTTTCTCCTTGCTACCACTGCTTAACTGCAATCCCCTACCACAAACAACTGATTATGGGCTAAAACAATATAAGCTATTCAAACTAGGAGCACAGCTCCCTTTCCAGTAATTTCCTTGTAAAGGTTACAAAAGCTAATTATATCACTCCAAAGCTATATATGACATGAAAGTTTCCCAAGTGTTCACATACTCGGAGACCATAAATGTTAAAAGGGAAGCTGTGTTAAGCTTTCTAATGGCAACAGTCTTAATCCCCACCAACTTTAACTGTTTCAAGTTTTTAAATCTGCATATATAAAGACAAGACTACATGAAAAATTTTCCATCCAATTTTCTTCATCATCTTCTCTGCTGAGTACAAATCTCAACACATATTATAAATTGAACCTTCCACACAAAGATGCTCTTTCTGGATCTAAAAAAGATCGTTTAAAATGCTGGAACAGGATACCTGATGAGACATTTAACAAAACAGGCTTATTTTTCATTCTGATAGTTTCAGTGGTGTTGAAATCACTGAGGTTAGTACTATAGTAGATTTATCTTCTTACAGCAGATTACTTTAAGTCACCAGGTGTTGATCTTGGTTTGAAATGACGGGAAAGGTCTCAAAACATTGTTCTAAAAGTTCGCTATCTTCCAGTAATAGCCCCACTACCACTTGTAAAGGAGTATCAGCACCAATTTAATCAAAGTGTTCAGAGGAAAATGAGGAAGGATGGAAGTTGAGACAGAGACAAGGGAAAATGGGATGCCCACAGCATAGCACTGCAGTGCAGAGTGGTTTTCCACACTTGCTTAAGAGTAAGGTGCCGCTTGGTAAAAGGTTCACTTTGGGGCAGCACCTACAGTACAACATTCAGCACTGAGCACTCTACATCAGCTCTTCAGCTTACTTGGAGAAAATGACTTCCTAGCTGCTCCTTTTGAAGTATATGTATGCTGCTGGAGTAACTTTTGTACACATTTAAAGGAATTCAGCCTGTAAGCTTACAATATCTTTACTGCAAAAAGGTAGTTCAAGTCAAGGTTTTCAAGTACCAAGCTTCTTGGTAACGCCCTCATTGTCTCTATAGCTCAGTGAAAAGTTGAATAGTAGCTTTTAAAGCTTTTAAGACATACCTGTTTTTGCACTCTGGACACAGAATTTAGTAAGAGGGCTTTGATTTTTCAGTACCTTTTCTTAACTATACTTTTAACTACTGCTCCATGTTTTTCTTGTTTAACAAGAAAAACAAAGTACCCTACAGTTTTTTCTCTTACTGACACATTGGTACAGATGCATGTATTTGCACTTACAGGGTTTCTTCTGCTCTGCTTCCTACAGATAATGAAAACAATATACTGTAGACACCAACTACTCATATGATCAACTCTCATTAGCAATTTGGCTGATTAACATAGCTTCTACTACTTTCACTTTCAAACCAGAAAAAAAAAAGGTAAGATATGAAGGAGTAAGACTCTGACAAGAAATAAGAATAAGAAATCTTTACCACCGGCACCTTAATTGCCCAAAGTACAAGGTGGAATGGAAGGCTTTCCAGTTCTGCTTGGCAGCAACTTCATCCCAGTGTCAGTCTCTTAAAACACACCAGACAAAAGCAACAGAAGCTCTGCTTGCCTCCCAACTAAAAGCAAAGCCATGCTCTTTCCAATTACCTGGCTGCACTATGAAAACTGGCAAAGATTTTCAGCTTCTGTAACATCACTACGTGAAAAGACTAAATTACAACAGGATCAGATTATATTTCCTTTGCAACCTCACTGCAAAAATCTTCAAATAATAAGACCTCTCAAAATGCTGCTAGAAAACATAAGGTAAACAAAACAGCTGTAAAGCCACAGGAATTCTTCTATTTTTGGCAAAATTACAATCACACTTCTGTACTATTTACCTGTTTTGTAGTGGATGCTTAATATACTGTTCAGGGCTGGCAACCTCCTGACTAGGTGCTGGCTCGGTTTTCTCCTCTTCTGAAGGCTGAGGGTTGGGAGTGGTTTCCTGTTTGAAGAAAGGAGTTACTAATCCATTCCTTCTCATTTTTTATAGAAATAATTTAGGTCTTTGAAGTAAGTTTAAGAAGGCTGAAGCTTAGAATTCCTCTAATTCATCTTGAATTAGGGGCCTGAATCACATCATGGAAGCACAATCTGCACGCCTTTATTCTTCAACATCTGAAGAGGTCCTACAAGAAATACTAACTGCAGGAATTTACATTCTGCTGTTCAGTGAATTACTTCCTATGTCATTTGTTTCCAGAATGGTTTATTTAACATACTTGTCTTATTTTGAAACATTTCTGAGTTATTTCAGAAATACACAATATGCTATGTTATCTAGAATATGCATATCTAAAAATTAATTTCCATAATAATTGCAGAAGGAAAACTTTTAAAAAATCAGTTTCTGACAAAGCATAATTGGAAGAGATGTACAGGCTCTGTTTATTTAGAAAAATCTGTTATTACAAACAGGATACATGCCTACAATTCTCAGGTCTGAAATCAGCTATTACAAGCAGCTCAAAACCAAATCAGTAAGCAGTTATCTTTGTATTTGCAACATCACTACTAACAAACCTTCAGGCACCAAACAGCAAAATTTAAACGCATATCAGTTCTCAAATCTCAAACTAAAATAAATGTAATTACACATTGACCACAGATTAGACTGATTCCAAGTAGTATTTTTTCAAATCTCTAGAGACAGTGCTAGAGTTGTCAAATATACTTTAACACAAAGTGAAATAATATATTCCCTTTGCATGCAAACCCCCTCAAGCTTGTCTTTCAGTTCAAGCAGCCACTGTGTCAGGTTTGAAATTCTAATGCCACTCCTTCAAACTAGGGAACACAAAGCTTTATTGTGAGGCCGAGCATCCCCACCAGTTACCACCATATCTCCCTAATCTGCAATCCACACTAGAATATTATGGAGACAAGGAATAAGGACTAGAGCTCATTCCCTACAGCTAACACAAGAATGCCTGTACAGCTGATCCTGTGAAAGAATAAGCACTTCAGTAATATAAACAAAGACTAACTACAGCAGACCCAAAGACTCTAGACATTCCTACATTCAGCAATATAAAAGCAGTACTTAAAAATTAATTTAAACTTTGTGGTCTTAAAAGAACAAAGCAATGTAGGGGTGGATTAAGTAATGGTAAATAATGTAATTAATGGAACAGTTTACTCGACTTCCACACTACTCAGTTTATCATCAGCAAAGCTGCTGAAAAGTGGAATGAATTTGAAGCAATAACATAAACAAGCACTGTTCAACCTTCATAGTCCCAGCTGGCAAACTTCTGACAACACCTAAAGGTCTATCTTAATAGGGATGACCTTTTCATTATTGATATATTTAGCATTATTAAGTGCGGTATTATGTTTTACTTCAGAGAAGTTACACCCTAATGCTTGAAAATAATGAAGTATACTTTAGTTTAACAGCTCACCTAGTCTCAGTTCAAAAGCCGATTTACATCACATTTAAGAATGCTTTCATATGCTCCAATGTTCCCAATGAAAAGGCTGAAATGTGAAGGCCTGACAGGGGCAGTGACAACTAGAATAGTGCTTTGATGTACACAGTACAAGGGGTAGGTAGTACAATTTCCTGCGTCTTAGTAAAACTAAATGCTTCCTGGGAACATCACTGACAAACCCACAGAAGCAGTGTTGAACAATCTGTCAAATCTCCTCCAGTGTAATACGACGAAAAGCTAAACAGATCTTCAAAAAGCTTAGTTAGTGCTTCAAATTCTATCTAGAATAAAGTTTTTAGTGTTAGCTCCATTTATTTTTAAGTTGATGGGATCAAATATACATCTTTCCCTTTAATCAGACACAAGAACCCCATGGAACAAAGTAAGATGGTCAATGCACAAAGGCTGTAAAATATTCCAAAGAAGCATGTCAATATTTCCTTCTCCAAGTTATTGTTTGTATTATTCTACAAAAAGCCAAGTACAGACAACTACAATTTAAGTGTTGTCCCTTTAGAGGCTTCTAACTGGAAGAGTTAGAGATATTACACGTGCAAATACAATGAGCATACAAGAAAAATCTTGTTGATATTTTGGAAGTAAACTAAGCACTAGGTTTTGTGATAAAGCTTGCTCTCATTCACAATACTCCACAGTTGCGACATCTAATATTTACAATAGATTTACAAATGCTATTACACTAAAGATTTTTACATCAAATAGACTCACCCTTGACAAATGCAAAGTATCTTCCAAAAATAATTTCAGTTGAGAATCTCATTCATGTTTGCTTGCCAAACAGATTTCAGTATACAAAGAACTAATCCTAAAGTCTCCCTAGTCAGTCTTACAGAAGTATCATAACTATAAAACCCAGAAGAATCAATACAAAACTACTGAACACTTGCAGGGCTATGCCATTTCCTAACTTCTAATAGAAGACAACATCAGAAAGGATTCCAGACTTCCAATTAAAAAAAAGGTGCCATGAGCCTCAATACCTGCCCCGTATACTAATGGTCACCCTTCACAAAGCTACCTCAAAGTCCATTTCTGGACAAATGGAAGACATTCAACTCAGCACAAATTTAAGTCACCACAATAAAAAGACCCTTAAGATATTTTGAAAGCTACTTAGCAGTAATGAAATTCAGACAAACCATTATTTCAAGCTCCTGTCCGAAACAGTACATGACAGCTCACCTCCAAGGCCTGGCTATCTATGATCTTGACCCAGGATTATGCCACTCCCCTCTTAAAACTAACCCAGCCACATTTTTGTTTTGGTTTTTTTTTTTTTGTTTTCCCCTTCAGCACCAGGTTGCTCTTCAAGGACAGGTAGAGCTGTACACACCAGAACAAACCTGGAAAAAGGTGTGAAGTTTGAAGCAGAGCTGTCAAACACAAAAGAGTTTTCTGGCTGGTCTCAGACAGAAGCCTAAAGCAGCTTGTTTTCCTTACCTTTTATTTCCCAGTGCCATCAAGGAAAACAAAAAAAGGACCATTTTCATTTTTGGTTAATCTGGTTAATCATACCAGCTCCCATTTCCTTTCACCTTACCTTTATCTCACTATTCTAAAGCTAAAGTATTTGTATAGGGAAGCACTTTTCATTATTAGTCAAATACAAAGTATGTACATTCACTAATTTGCAATCAAAGTCCATTTCTTGTATCCAACCTCTTTCCAGTTACTGAAATTCTACTCCAAACCACAAGCATGCAGGTTTTAAAAAAATTCTATAAACACAATATGAATTAAAGTGATACGGTACACATTTTACCAATTCACACCTTGAAATCTTGCACTTGCTACACTATTAACTTACTAAAGTCAGGCTGTCTCCATAAGCAGTTTCTGAACTGCTAAATTTAAAATCCTTCATATTACTTTACTATTGATCATATTTAATCCATTCTTTAACCTAAAACTGACTTTGCATCTACTATTAAACTAAGCCACCACCGGGTTTGCTGCTTTTAAAATAGATGTAATAAAATAGGTAGCATTACCAGATGAACTGGAAAGCTTCATATGGCCAATCCTACTCCTCATACACAAGACAGCATGTAATTAAAAGTGACATTTATTCATGACCCACATGTTTTTTTTGATGTAGGAATCAACTTGCAGAAGTCCATGAAACATTTGCCTACTCAGCATTTAATGACTGTGCACATCTGCACGTTACTTGGATTCTGACACTTGCAGATTTAATTGGTGTTATTTATTATTTCTCCACAGCACATAATGACCAACATATCAAAGGAACAAGCGTACATCACTGGGACAGGAAACAAACAGCACTTACAGTAAAAACTGCTTAATCAGGTTTGTCTATTAAAAAGAACAACTAGCTTGACTAGGTTTCACCAAGCATTTTTTCAGGTGCTGCCCAGACCACATTCACGTCATCTAATTGTCTACAGAAGCTGTTTAGGACGTCCAGTTAAGAGTGTGCAACATTTACACCCCAAAAAGGACATAACCTAGCACTATAACGCATTCTTGGTGAAAGTTAAAAAAAAATCAAGTCTTCTTGCATTAAACCAAAATAAGTTATATTTGAAAGTTTCCACCTTCTTGTTTAGGGTTTCCAACAGAATGAGACAACTGCACATCCCAGTTTCAGATGTCACGGGAAAATGCATGTCAACTACATGCTCGTCTTTCTGCTTCTGTTACTACACCATAGCCAGGATAACAATTCACAAGGCGCAAAATCAAGAGCTATTTATGTCAAAATATTGTGGACAAAAAAGGGATTTAAGCCCACTCACAAGCAAGTATTATGTGCTCTAAGAAAACAAAATTATGATCCGATATGCAATTCTGAGGAATGACTATAGAAGTAAAAATCACATGTAGTATGTGTAATACCAACAGGAAGAGAGGTACCAATGGCCACCTGCTACCAATTAACCAGTGTTGAATAGCTTTTTAGACACAAGGAGAGAGAAAAAATTCCTAGGCATGACATAACAAGGGCTAATATGGAGCAACTATCCTAACTGCATACACTATTATTTAGATAACGACAGATTTTTAGAAAGGCGTTCACTATTAGAACACAAACACGGGACCTGATTTTAACTGAGTAACATCCCACCAAACTAGAACAGAAGTGCAACACGTGTACAGGAGGACAGGAACAAAAGACTGAAGTAGAGTTACAAGCTTCCTCCAGGGTTAGAAGGGCATGCTGGTTTGGTTTATTTAGGAAATACAATCTCAGGTTTTAAAAGACAAAGAATATTTACAGCTCTTTTGACTTCTTAAAAAAAAATGGGTTACATATGCTTGAAAGTACCCCTCAGATTTTCAAGATTTAACTCACAACCTTATGACCAGAATTAGCAAACAAGTTATGAGGTATATCAAAATACTTCTTTGTGGTTTTTTTTCTAGCCGCGTAAGCAGGCTGCCCTTATGCTACCACTTCTCACCCTAGTCTGCACCCTGCTGCTGCCTTTGCTACCGGAACATTAAATCTACCCACAGGATAAGATGATTTTCCACATCTAACACTGTTAGTTCTAAGGGGCTCAGA